ATAACGTTGTAATTTATATTTGGTTTAATAATATAATTTTCTTATAAATATAATAATTAATTATTTTGTTAGAACTCGATAATTATCCTAGTTATATTTTAGAGTTTTTATATTTTAAAATAAGATGTTTATTCTCTATTTGATTATGTTTATCCGTAATTAGTTATACGAATTCAAACATTGAGTTTTAATAAGTTGTACTTTTGCATAATTTACTTGTATTCTTCAATTTTGAGTAAACATTGGTTTTATGTGGTTTTGAGAAAGTAATAATGTTTTTATTTTGGAATAAAATATAAATTTAAAAATATTATAAAACTTTGAAAAAAAAATGGATATCAGTATTAAATTAATCTTTTTAAAATTCCTTGTGTTTTGGTGTAATTTCTTTAATTGTAATTTAATTTAGGTTTTTTAACAAAGAAAATTAATTCAGGTTTAATAATATATTTTTTTGTAAAGATAATAACTAAGTATTTTGTTAGTTGTCAATGATTATCCTAATTATATTTTAGATTTTTTATATTTAAAATGAGATGTTTATCCAATATTTGATTATGTTTATCTGTAGTTAGTTAGACGAATTCAAGTATTGAGTTTTAATAATTTGTACTTATACACAATTTATTTGTAATCTTAAATTTTAAGTAATATACATCAATAAACAGTATTTCGTGCATAAAAAATCATTTTTAAAAGTTTTTGTCAAATACTTTATAATATAGTATAGATATTAACTTTAGAAATGATTCTGTAATCAAATAAGATATTTATTTTAATATATTTTTTATTCAATAAATAAATAAATGTTAAATTATTAAATTAATATTTAATGTTCGTATAGTTTTATTGCATTTATGTATGTTTAGTTATTGATAAAAACAAAAAATTATAACCGATAAAACCTGAAAAACCACATTCATTGAAGCCTAATTAATCATATGCTATGTTTCATATGTGATTATATTTCGTATTTTTTAATATTTATTAATATATTAATGTTTAAATTTATAATAAAAAATTATGACAATCTTAATTAATGATCAAACTAGTGCTTTTTATGTAACTAAAATGTCGTCAATATGTTATTCATATATTTTCTTATAAACAAATTTTATAAAACATTAAAAATTACGATGTAACATAACATAATTTCTTATTAGAAAATTATACTCTATGATTTCTTATTTTATAAAATTTTACGTTAACAAAAAATGCTGATGTGACATTAACGGTTATCTTTATCGAAAGCCAATTTCCTTTAAGACATAATTAGAAGCACCATAATTTCTACTTAAGAGATCATTTAAGGAATTATTGTAGTGGATGCACACAAACAACCGCTTATTTATGATCCCTTTTTTGCACTTAAAAGAGTATTAAACTTTAGCAAAAATCCAACGAAGTATCTTATTTTAAATGATTAAGTTGTTGAATTAATTTTTGATATAGAAAATCATTGATTTTCTCATTTCGAATGATTTAAGACCCCCAAACTATTTTTTGTGAATGAAGAAACCCATAAACTTTTTTGAATGATTGATTCTCTAAACATTTTTTTTCAAAAAAATAAACTATCGAACTTCTAAAAATTGGTTACATATATCGTTTTACCCCCTAAAGTTAGATCAAAAAGAGGAAGATTGATAACAGAAGCCGACAATGTGGTTGATGATATAAAAAACGAACAACGATGGGACGGCAGTGTAACACCAGAGGATCACATTTGCATATAAAGAATATAATTTTACATATTCGGTCCTAATATATACAAAAACTACATGCCATCTTTTGTAATTTAGAACTTGTTGTATTACAAGTTTTCTATAGAGATTTTGTGGAAAAAGTTTTTTTGAAAGGAAAAAAAAAAAAACTTTTTCCACAAAATCTCTATAGAAAACTTGTAATATAACAAGTTCTCAATTACAAAAGATAGCATGTTATCTCAACAACCCATGCAAACATGTATAAACTCCTCACAACTTTCTCTTCCCCTTATCTTCTGGTAGAGCCCGACCTGTAATGCACATTTTTCCAAACATCAAAATGAGGATTAAACCTTAAGGTCTAGTGAGAAATTCTTATTACAGGGTGAATAATCACCAAAACATCTTTATAAACTCATATTTGTATTAATAACAAATATACAACATTCTAATATAACAAACTTCTTTTGTCACATCTAAAAGATGAGACATTGTCAGTTTATCACATCAAATAACCGAAATAACTTATTTAACACATTCTGATATAACCTATCGCATCATATAGGTAAATATATAATTTCCTCGAATCACATGGTTGAGACAACCCCATCTCCTAGCAACACATTGGTGCTATGACCTCATCTCATTGCATCACACTGGTGCGATAAACCCAACTTGTCGCATCACACAAGTGCGATAAGTCAACTTGTCGCATCA